TCATTTTGAAGCTTTGTAGGTTGACTCGTGCAAGGAGTTCTATCCATCTACAAGACCAGCTGAGCATTGGGAAAGCTTGAGGGAACTTCAAGCAAGCTCACAAGAACTTCAGGCCTCACTCAAAGTGCCCACATTGTCATATCCAAACTCAACTGAACAAGGTATTTGTCAAGTTTTTATCTCTCTATTTAGGCATCTTTAAGCTTAGGTTTGTGAAGCAAAAATGTAGTCCTTAAGTTGTTTGAGCTGTACATATGCATAGTTTATATATATTAACTGAGCTAGGAGAATTTGGATGTTGAAGTTACTGAAAAAACTAGGTCATAATTTAGGACCATTAAAATTCTCTCTGTCCTTTGAGAGTTAGGTCACAAAATGGATATGGTTGGAATCGTGTTTAAAAATGTTATAAGTTTCATGTTGTAAGTTTTTTATTTCATCCAAGCATGAGCAAGAACAGGATTGGCTCTGAAACGCGCGTAGGAGGAAGAAGCCAACGACAGGGATGAAGTTGTCTGGGCTTGGCGCGCCTGGGCCTGGCTTTTCCTACTTTTGGTACCCCCCATTTTACTTATGCACCCCCCTGACCTTTTATTTTATATTTTTTGTATTTTTTTTTTGCATATTTCATATTTCTGACTTTTATTTATTTTTTCTAAACATTTAAAATCACCAAAAATATTTTCTTTATTTTTTGCATTTTATCATATTTTTTTATTTTATTTTTTGAATAATAAATTAATTATTAGGTTAATATACTTTATTTTCTTAAATAAAACTTGTAAATAATATAAAAATATCATACATTTTTATTTTTATTATTTATACACTTAAAATAATATTTTCATACATATTTCAATTTTTTTAACATTTTGTACATAATCTTATTATTATTTTTCTTGAACAAAAATGGACAAATAAATAATATAAAACATATTTTCTATTAAACCAAAAATTAGGGTTTCCCCTTTCAAAAATAATATTATTTTTTTTTTCTTCTTATTTTTAGAATTTAAATAATTTTATTTTTACATATATAAAATAAATACAAGAACATTTTTTTTTTTGCATATTTACATTTTATTGCATATTTAAATATTATTTATTTATTTATTTGTACAATAAATTCAATTTGGTTGTAATAGTTTTAGGGTTTTATTTTGAGCAATATCCCTCATTCAAAACTTGTATCCCCCTTCCCATAATATTGTTGTAATAGTCTAGATTTACTTTACGCATTTTATTAGTTTCATATACCATAATAGTAAATTAGGGTTTTGTATGCAAAAGACCAAAAATCAAACAAATAGCATGACTTAACACAAGACAAAAATGCATGAAAATGACAATACCTTGCACACAAGCACCCCTAGGGTTTCATCCACTTTGTTGCCTTAAAACATGGCCATGGTATGCATGCTAGGTATCTTGGCAAAACAAAACAAAACAAAACAAAAGATCATAGTCCCTCGATGACGCTATCTTGGTTTCCTAAAAACAAATGATCTTAAGTCCCTCAAAACTTGTTAAGATACTTGGCATTATTGCTATCATGATCATACGATGACCCACGCCCGTTCCGTTTAACATCCAAAGATAGGTTTGTTTACCAAATACAATGGTAAAACAACAATATCAAAGGAATAAAAATGTGTAGGAAAGACTTTTGAGTAGGTAGATAAGCTTCTAGTTACTTGATCAATTTGCAAACCATCCTTGCTATTTTCAAACAAACACACACAATTTCAAAACATTTCCAAACAACTTTCAAACATTGAAACATTTTTCAAAAGACAAACATCTTTGTATACATTCGTACAAACAAGAATCATTACAAAGATTGCCTAAACAAAGGCCTCTTTTCAAAATACTTTCAAAAACCACACAAAGCACCATTTCAAACAATTGGAAAAGCAAAGCAAGTGATCTAAACAAGTAACTAAGAGCCCATGGATAACCATGGATGAAAAGGGTGCTAGCACCTTCCCTTTTCATAATCTACCCCTCGAACTCAAGAAAACATCTCAAAGGTCTTTCTTGTGCTTTTTGACCTTTCCTTTGGATAAAATAAAAAGTCGGTGGCGACTCTTTTCTAAACCGAAACATTTGCGAACACAAACGCAAAACCTCAAGTCAGTTCTCCCACCGTATCACATATGTGTTTGTTGGAAGCAATTTTGGTAAAACAATGCTTTGATAATGTTTTGCCAAATGTCTTTACATTTGAAGCAAACTGTTTTGAATGATGTTAAATCAGATGTCTTGACATCTGTCTCCTGAACTGAACGCAACTCATATCAGTTTAAGTTTTCTGTTTCCTATTTTTATGCGTGCCATAATTCAGGATTTCTTACTCATAGCTTGCAAAAATTATGGAGGAATATTTTTCTATTTGAATTATCCTTATGGATTATATCTTGGCATGTTTTCATGGAAATATTAAAAAATTGGAATATTTGTTTTTCAACCCAAGTCCATTGTTGCGCCTTTATAAGGACTTGCTTCCTTATTCATTCAACTGCAACTTTTGAAGAAGAATACTTTCTTTCTGTTTTAGAATTCTAAGTCTTTTAATTGTCACACACTCTAGTATTGATTTAATACTTGAGTTGTTATTTGAGTTGTTAATTCTTGATCATTCATAACCTTTTAAGCATTAAATGATTGAAGTCTTTAAAACTTGTTATTTCAGTTGTTCTTCACTGTAAGTGATTGAAGGGATTTGAAGAGGGCGGTATACCTAGGTGTGTCTTAGGTAGAAGTATAGCACGGGTAGTGATTAAGTGATTAGATCGTAAACTGGTTGTTTATTGAGGGTCTATGAATTGATACTATTTAGTGGACTTGTCCCTGGCTTGGTAGCCCCCAGAGTAGGTGTTGTTGTACACTGAACTGGGTTAACTATTCAGTGTGTTTTTACTGTTTTTACTTTTGTTGCATTTTACGTTGTCCTCAGATATTTATATCGTGACATCTCCTTCAACATCTCATATCTGATACCATAATTTCATCTTGTACTTCTTCAATGTCTTGTTACTTCCATATCAATCCTATTGAGTAGAGACATGAGTATCTTCTTCTTGATCAGCCTCTCATCTCAACTCTTTTCTCCCAAATACACTTAAACGTGCATTTGTGAGTGGACTTGAAAAATTATTAAGTATCTTTGGCCATAATACAATTTATATTGAGTCTGAATAAAAGCTTATCATTTCCATTGATTATGATATTGAAAATTTTAGAGTTACATAGGGCCAACTCATACTTTTCCCTTCTATCTCCTCAGAACCAAGATTTTTCTATCCTGACAACTCTCCAAGATCTATTGTCCATTGAATTCCAGAATGCTTATTATTTTAGCCTTCCAACAAAAAGAACGGTAGTACCAGAAAAATACTCCTTGGAGCTCACCCAATAAACAGACCAGGGTGCCTGCTCTAATTCTAATTGAGATTCTGGCACTTACAACACATGTTAATACTAATGAATTAATATCAGAACACAATGTCAAGACAGATGTTACGACATTTGTTCATGATACAGAACAATAACATTAAACTGTAAAATATGAAGAACATTTAGTTTTGATACTTCAAGCATTTATACAAGTTTATCAAATAAGATGCAAAATGGATAAGAGCAAACAAATATGAAGGACACGTGGAAGCTTATCAAAGACAAAAGTTGCATGAAAATGAAGATGTACCAGATGTTGCTTAACTTACCATTGATGACGGTTATGTTAGAATTAGTATATATGTAAGTTTTGTTTATAAGATTAGGGGTTCACATACTCAAAGTATTCAAGTGTTAGAGAGAAAAGAGTGATCTAAAAATATATACATTTATGTTCCATTTATAAATTCAGTTTCTTTTACTTTACATTGTTTAATTTACTTCATTAAAGTTCTTTTCATAGTTATTTTTCATTTCGACTTTTAGTATAAAATGTATTTCAAACTTATAATTTTTGCACAATTTATCCTGATATCTTTACAAGTTTAATTCTTTAAATAAAATCAAACTTATCTTTATATATCAAATTTCCGAAAAAAACACTTACATATATATACATCTCTACCACTTAGTATATCATATGCTTCATAATATATATATAATTTTTTAGAAATAAATTCCAATACATTGACAATTCTCTTGATACAAGCATAGAAAAAAATTGTCCTTTGATCAAATATCGAATGATGTAAGTTTAAATATATTTACAAATTTTTAATATTAATGTTAATATATTAACTGTTTTATTTTCATCGAGTTTCAAATTATTAAATATAAATGGAAAAGCAAGTAAATAGTAAAATAGAAGAGGAAAAAGTATAATTTTTAAAACTATGCAATAAACAATAGTATATTCAATCGTGGCAGGAAAGCACACCGTTCCTTCCACCCTTTGACTAATTTTCAAATTATTCAAGCATAGACTTTTGACTCACTACTTTTCCAACTTGTCTCCAAATTTGGCTCCTTCCATCTCTACTTTTCTTCACCTTCTTTTTTATAACTTTCCATAATTTCCATACTAAATTAAACCAACTCTTTCTAGTTCCTCTCTCATTCTTAAATCCTAATATTGTTCACATATTCATATTTAGTGTTTCTCACTCACTACTTTTCAATCTCCATCTTCATATGAATTAAAGTCCATTTTTTCATGATCCACATCAACTTCCTTATTCAGGTGGGGCTATACTCATATTTTTCTTCTTAGTGGGATCACCCACTTCACTACTTTTCAAATTCTTTCTTTTCACACAATAATATTTAGTATCTTGAATTTTTCAATACCAAAATACTTATACTACTAACTACCTGTCTCTTAATCTTCTCATTCTTCATCTTCTTCTTTCATACATGTTTTCTCTTGCTATAACATATGAAGCCAAATCATTCCCTCTAATGCATCATTTTTTCATAGCATATACCAATATACTAATTTCAAATGATGTCATGATATAATGCAACTCTAGCATAAAGTTGTATACATGGAAGGTGTATTTTCCCTTCCTGTAGCCGTCAGAACTGAAGTTATCCATTCTTTGATGCAGTCTCTTGGAGGATGTTCATACATTTGTCTTTGGACATATGATACCATATCACCAAAGTATACATAATATATTTATATGCATACACCTAACTACATTATTATATATAAGCTTGCTGATTCTACTTATGCAACGGTTTGATTTTTATTTTATTTTTTTTAATTAGTCGTTTGTCCTTCTTGGATGGTATCTATAATGTGATAAGCAACCACCAACCAAGTTCTTCTTTGGGAAGCATCGCACAACGGCTTTTCAATCAGTATACCATTTTATCATTTGATATCAATGATGAGTAAGTTTATTTTTCTCTTATAAAGTTTAATGTGATTCAATTCATACCCTTTCTATGAATCTCACACATTTGTATGTCGCATTCGTTTAGCCGGATTCCTGGACTAGCTTTTAGGAATCAACGTCCTTATCTAGAGCTGCAGCAGCTGGAGCTTCTGACACTGTCATCGACAGAAATACAAACACAATTTTACAAGGTTAATATTGTTCAAATGAAAGAGTTTATGTTAAATTATAGCTATATAGTAGTACTATTTAAAGGTTATATATGTTGCTAATTAAGGTAACATGTTTTTGTTTTTACAGGAAGCAAGGATTAAGGTTTGTTTGTTGTCCAAGAAACTGAAAATTCTCTATAAGTTTGATTTTGAGGTTATAATAAGCCAAAATCTTTTCTCTTATAGACTGCTGTTTTCATGGGGTGCAACAAAGGAGAAATTGAGCTTGGTTTCTTAAATATGTCCCAAGTAAGTAGTCCTAATAGTATATATATACCTCTATAGCACGACACTTCTGTAAAAATGTGTGTTGTGTTGGTATCTGAAACCAATATCAAAATTTGTGATTACGTTTAATTTAATTATTTTTTAAAATTATTACCAATGTCAACGTGGTGTCGTGTTTTCAATGTTCATGCTTTATACGTATATACTATATACTACATCTTTGTCGAAAACTCTGATACGCCTAAACTTTTCTGTGTATGTGGCGCAGACTGATATTCAAACGGCACTTAGGAATTTATTTCCTCAAGATTTTTCAAGACAGATGCAACAAATTGATCAGAATAATAATAATAATAATCCACCTTCATCATCTTCATCTTCAATGAGATCACTATCAACAGCTGGTAGTCCTGAATACTCATCTCTCATGTTCAACAAAAATCCACCTGGAACTTCTCCATCATCACATCACTTTCCTGATCATATCCTTGGAGGAGTAAACATTCCTCCAATGAGACCTGTTTCAAACACACTACCCTTTCAACTTCAACAACAACCTCAAATCACACCAACACAATTGTTCCCTATTGATCAACAGAATGATGCAATAATGAGAGCAATCCAAAATGTTCTATCTACACCCCCTTCTCAGCAAAGTTACACAGCACATCCAGAAGCTAGTGCATTTGGAAGGTATAGAAACGATAAAAGTCCTATTATTGTAGGGTCGAATTTTCGAAGACAGAGTTTGATGAAGAGATCATTTGCATTCTTCAGAAGCTTGAATTTGATGAGACTAAGAGAACGAAATCAAGCCATGCGTCCTTCTAGTAACCAACTTCATCATATGATATCGGAACGACGAAGGCGCGAGAAGCTTAATGATAATTTCCAAGCACTTCGAGCGCTACTTCCTCAAGGAACTAAGAAAGACAAAGCATCCATACTGATAACAGCCAAGGAGACAGTAAGGTCATTGATGGAAGAAATAGAAAAACTAAGCAAAAGAAACCAACAGTTGTTGATGTCACAAAAGTCGGCTGCTTCGAATAAAGAAACTATGAAATTCTCGTCAAATGAAAGAATTAACGTGCGAGTTTCGCATGTACCAGAATCAAGTTCATCACACGATGAACCAATGCTAGTGGAGTTACAAGTGAATGTGATAGGACAAATTTCTCAAGTCGATATGTTGATTCGATTATTAGAATTCTTAAATCAAGTTAATCATGTCAATTTGATTTCAATGGATGCAACAAATACAAACACTTCACAAGAGGATAATTATCTTCATCAAATAACATTCAGACTAAGGATTACTCAGGTACGAATAAAATTATAAATATATTATTTATTATCCACATAGTTTATTCTTCTATTTCTGATTAAACTTTATTAATATTATATATGACTAACATTATTAGATTATATTATCAAAGTTTTCAAAAAAATGTGGCTGCTTGATAAGTCTATATATATAGTTTGATATTCAGTAATCACTGTGATAAGTAGGTTTAGAAAGAAAAAATATTTGTTAGGTGGCATGGTGTGCTTAATTTGTCACCTTCCAAAATATTATACAAACCACAATTCAATTCAAAAAGTGAATTCTATTTTGGCAGCCACCCAAGTTAGTCAGAATATATATAAATTTTTCTATTATAATCTTGTGGGTAAGAAACTCTTGATGATTTACGTCACATTTAGATTACGTTATCAAAGTTTGTCAAATAATCACAATTTTTGTAATGATGAATCAATGTTTTTACTTTAGAAAACATAAAGTGACATGTAAGAAAATCTTGATTAGGTAAGAATAAAAAGTTTTGGTGGTTTTTGCAGGTGAGTGAATGGGACGAAGAGGCTTTCCAAGAAGCAGTGAGAAGAGTAGTTGCTGACTTGATACAGTACCAAGTGGACCATAATATATGACTCACTTGTTAATTGTTATTATCTTTAATTGATTATTCTGCGGCGGTATCAAATTGTTTTGATTATGTAATAAGCCAATTAAATTAGCTTCAATTATTTTTGTTTGTTTCATGATTAATTTGTTTAGTATAGGGGGTTTATATTATATGTAATATGTGTACGTTCTAATTCTAATTTTTAAATGATTTTTTGTCTCTTGGTCAACACATTTTTGTGGTGGTGGTTGATTATTAATCTCATTTGTATTTTGTTAAATAGAAGAGATTAAATTATAAACACTCTTGACTTAGTTGGTTGAAGAGGCTAAAAATAGTATTTCAGATATAAATATAATACTTACATATATAGATATTAGGTGTGGACAGCGGAGTCAATGAATATTCATTATACCATTAGAAATGATAAGCAGGTGGTTGTTAAAAATGGTAGTAACAATGGTTTGAAGGAGAGGCGTGGTTGTTAAAAATGGTAGTAACAATGGTTTGAAGGAGAGGTGAGAAAGACTGTGGAGAGAAAGAGGAGAGAGAGCCGTGAACAGGGGTGAAAATAAGTCAAGATAATAATAAAGATACGGACTAGTTTATATAAACTCAAATTAGTTTTTTTTTTTTAATAGAAAAAGTTTATAAATTTATTTAGTTAAAAAAAGTTATGTCACATATCACAAAAAAAAGTCTTTTAAATTTATGAGACCGGCTTATTTAAATAAATATGAATAATTTTATTATTATATGGTGTTTGTATTTAAATTAAAATACAAAAATAAAGTTTAGATGTCTAGAATGATTTATGAAAATACGCTGAAAAAATCTTATGAATAATATCATAGGATGTTTTCATGAGTTATCTTAAACAAATAGAATCACAAAATATATGTTAATATGTAAACTTGAATAAGTCAATGCAAATAAATATTTATTTTAATTAATCTTTTAATTTGTTAGTCTATTTTAACATTACTTGAATTGTTTATTTGAAAATGCTCAAATAAAATAGATTTTTATGTAAGTTAATAGGTTAATCAGGTTTTCGAAAATATCAAACTCAAATTTAAAAACAAATCTTTGATAAACCACGTACTAGACTTAAATTTTGAAATTTTTAACAGGATAAGTTCAAAATTTGCAAAGCATAATTCGACATATCTTATTTTCAAGGTGAGAGAAATAAAAGATTTAGAATTTATTTATATTTTTGTTGTTTATTCAATTTAACTAATTAGAGTTGTAAGAGAGAGACAAATCAGAGAGAAGTAAAGTTGTTCGTTTCATAGTACCTAGATAAATAGTGTTATCAAGTACACATACGGGTTGGTTGGTTCATCGACGATTTACTTCTTCTCACCCAGATCTGTCCAAATTAATACAATTAAACCGCTAAAATTGAACTGCACGACCCATTAACCCACACTAACTTGCCCGTTTATCAAAACCCATTCGATTGAATTGGTTCTGAACGGGTTTGCGGATCTTATACACCTTTAGATATAAGAAGTTTCTAAAGATGAATATATTTATAATATATTAAATCAGAAATGTATATTCATATATTAATATTTTATCTTAATTTGTATCACATCATCAATATTCTTATATGGTAACTCTAAAATTCTTCTCCACTTCTCAAAATTCAAAATCACATGTTGAATCCTTATTTGAGGTTATTGGTTCGAATTTTGAAAACTGCAAAAATATATTTATCTAATAACTACTTACATGTTTTTTTATAAAACTTATAAAAGAATATTTTTATTTTCCTTGCAAGGTTAGTGTTCTTTGTTGGCCAAATGCACAATGACACTTTGGTCCGCATCAGTCAAATGCTCAATAACACAAGGCTCATTTATCCAACCTGCTTCATCCGGCCCTAGGTATAAATATCTTCACAAGGGATTTTCAATTCCACAATCTCTAATCTCCACTTTCACTACCACTATATATCTTGAATCCTAAATTGACTTAGGGTTTGGAGTCTAATCATACAAGTATCCCCCCCCCCCCCTCATTTTGGTATGTTGTATCGAAGAATAAAGACGTCAATTCAAGATCAACGTTTCTGGTTCAAGAAGCACTGTGATCGCAACCTTCGAGCCACGACATCTCATCGTTGTAGTGCTCAAGGAACCTGGCTATACTGTGATTTCCACGATTCTCTCTAATTCTGGTTCCGCAACAGAGAAGTTAGCACTCCAACGTCCAATTTAGTTCAAGGTTCAAGATAATTGTAGTGAAAAATGGAGATCATAAAGGATATTTTATATTTCGTGTGACTGGAAGTTTATACCTTGGGACTTGTTGAGTGGATACCTTAGGCTTTTTAGGCCTTTGGCCTGTCTAAAACAGTTGCACTCAAGGCTTAGTCGGGTGTAACATCCTAAAACTCCAACGTGTATAGTACGAATTCAAAATAAATATTCACATAGGGTGTCACGCAAACATAGCATAAACATGCTCTATAACATGGGTTAAGTAAAACATAATATAATATAAACAATTGTCATCACATGCTCGCTTTTACTTAAGCTCAGTACAACATAATTAATCAACAAAACACAACTCATCAATTAACTGGGTTCATGAAAAATATTTATTTGAAATTAAACGTAATTATGGCAAAAGCCTCCAACATCAAAACAACTCAAAAAATATCAAGATTTATAACATCTACTCTTGCAATAACAACTCAAAAGTAACAATAAATAGTAAACATAACATTCTCCCGCCCAACATTACAGTTCAGGGCAACAAAATCTAAATATCGCATAAAATGAGAAAAGAATAATAGCATCAATGTTATCCTTTGGCTCTAACGCAGCTACTCATTTACATGCTTATTTGTACTCCTAGAAGGAGCACAGAATACCACAAACAATAAAAGGGTGAGAATACACTCAAAATATATAATGGTGCAAAAGTATGCAAGGGTAGCCTAAGACAAACATCAACATTCATACATTTCATTTATCGATTCAACATAATTCATTCACATCAACCACGAAAACTCAATTTCATACTAAAAAACTCATTCACAAACATCTTTATGTAAATGCAATGCATACAACGAGTCAACTCATGCATGTGATACCAATCAACAAAGGTTTTTCATACGAATAGGGTCAACCCTTCTAGACGCCTAACACACCCTTCTAGGTTTGGGATAAGTCACTCGTCCATCATTCTAAACTTGCAACTTTCCTATTTCAACAACAACTACATAATGATGCATGTCATACAACTCAATGCAACAATAACAACAACAAAAATGTTTAAGGCCCCCTTTTGGCCGTACAACCATGCATTGAAAACACAATAATAGTCCCCACATATAAACTTGTTGGAATATTCCTTAAAGATTTTTTTGATGAAGAGAAAGAAAATATATTTCGAGATTTCCATAAATCAAAAAGTAGTATGGTCTGAACGGTTCACGGGTATCGGATTCCGTCAGTTCGGTGATCCATTCATTAATGTTAGAATATTTTATATTAATTTGGAGATCATATAAATTAATACAAAAAGATATTTTAAGATATTTATAATATTCTAAAATATATTATAAGATATATATTTATATTATTCTAAGAGATATTATAAGATATATGTTTATAATATTCTAAGAGATATTATAAGATATTTATAATATTTGAGATATATTATAAGATTATAATAATATCTTTTATTCTAACCATTATTGAGATATGTTTTGGATTTATTGGATTTTATCAATTATAAATATGTATTGCTTATGTTATTATAGTGTGACAAACTTAGAGCTTACAACAACAAGAGAGAGCATGGGTTTAAAGTCATAGCATAAGGTATTGGCTATTCTCAAGGGAAACCTTAGAAAGGCAAGGGTTTTGGAAACTTTTGGAGTTATCTAAGGTTATTTAGAATTGGGAAACACTTGTTTACACCCTGGGTTTGAGTTATTCATATCTTGAAGGTTGAAGAGGTTGGGAAACACTTGGGTAGAAAATAGGGTAATTCTTGGGCGCCTTTAGGGTTGTTCTTGGGAACCTGAAGGCAAAGGCTGGTTTTTTGTAACTTATATGTAATCTCTTGTAACAACTTTCTGAGCATAGTGAATTGGAGAGCAGCTCTCTCCCCTAGAGTAGATCGTTTGATCGAACTGGGTAAATAAACCTTCATATTTTTCTCGCCTTATTTTGTTATATTATCTATGTACGAATTATTACTACTGTAGATCATTTACTTTGGTTGCTACTATTCTTTTCCTCATGAATTGATATTGAATTTTGTCGTAATTTACAACAAGATTCACAACAAGTGGTGTGGTGAGCATGAAGCAAAGAGGTATTGAGCACCATGGTTAGTAGATGGAAGATCGAGAAATTTTCTGGTAGCAACGACTTCGGGTTGTGGAAAATTAAGATGCAAGTAATTTTAGTTCAATAGAAATGTATTGATGCTTTGAAGAGTGAAGAATTGATGCCTGCAGGTATTACACAGGTACAAAATACCGAGATGGAGAAGTATAATGAGTTTTAAAGAAATCAAGGAATAAAAATGCATGTTACCGATGAGTTGTTATTGAGTTTTTGGGGAAGATACAAACAACTTACTTGGTTAGTAGATAATTTATTCAGAGGGAGACAACTGTCAACATCTTCTTGAGATCAAACCATAACTCGGTTTCTCAAGGAAATACAATCTTAAAGAAATATAAAATATGTTTATAATTGTTTCTAACAAGCTATAGCACAACTATGATGTTTACACAAATTATAGCAATAAGAATAACTTAAGAGATAAAAGATATGATAGTGTTTAGAGCGCTCTTTTTCGTATACATGAGTGTATATATGATCCATATTTATAGTCCCCTTTATATAGAACATATTCAGATCTGTTGGAGACATATAAACTTATTTTTGGAAGGTTGTCGATTTGAGGTTTTAATATTCTTTCCAAAAATACATATTTTGTTCCCAATCATAATGTTCCAGTCGTTACTTTCTTGATTCTGTATTGATTATC